CTCCACAGTGCCTGCGCTGACATATCCAACCATTTTTGCCAGACGCACAGCATCCTGAAAAAAAAAGAACACGTGCCGTGCGCAAATTAGAAATAATTTTAAATCACATCGCAAGCACAATCACTCAAAAAATATCTTAAGTGTTCGCAAATCAGAGTACTTTTCTCCTCTCTCAAATGCTGCATGAGTGTGCTCGCCGACTACACTTTCGAGGTGCGAAGAAGGCAAGTGCTGTACAAGGAATCAGCAATAAATTAGGTTGAAATTAGCCAACCGCTTCCATGCTTCGTTGCACAACTAAGGGTGCAGCGATCGCCGGCGCCTCCTCAATGATCTTCTGACATCGCCGCTGAACAGTACAGTCGCGTGTTCGCAAAGCAATCACTTCACCGTACATATCGCCCAGAAGTTGCACCTCGATATGTCGAGCACCTTCCAAACAGTGCATCAGGAATATATGCCCGCCAGCTACCTCCGCCTGAAGCAACACATCGCAGAAGCCAATCACGCATCTCATTGCATCCACTCAGTCTAAGCTCCAAAACGCACTAGCTTTCGTAATGCAGCTAAGCAGAACTAGGGCTGATTAAAGTCCTGCTTTTTCAGTGATTTTCAAAGTCTGACTGCACTAACAAGTAATTACTAGAAGCAACGACCAGTGAATTCTCGCTCCTCCGAAATTTTCCGAAGGAAAAAGAAGTGCGGTAAAATTCAAAATCTCAATCCCTCCAGTCTGACAGAAAAATTTCGTGTTATTTGGTTGACTGCTCATGCAAATTTACTATTAATTACTAAGTGTCTAGTGTCGTGGACGAAGGCACCTTCTACAGAAAGGGTAAGCAGACCGGGAAGGAATTGAATCACACATCTCCGCATTTGAACGCAACTTGTTAGACCACTCTGCCACCGGTTCACGCCCCTCAGAAACAGCCTGGGAGCAATTCTACTGTGCGCATCTGCCCCAAATAAAGAATACACGTTTTTCCTGCCTACCTACCCTTAAACACTTGCTCCCAGCACTTTTCGTATTTTCTGTAATATTTTCTACACTTATCTTAATCATACGCTGCCATTGTTTAACTTGTACATAACAAGATAAACTCATAAATAAGCTTGTTTACTATTTACTTTACTATTTTTTTTTCAACAATACGGAAAACTAAGGACAAAAATACCTGCACTCTCCGAAAATTAACTTCGAATTCGGATTCATTTCGGACCAAACGAATTCCTTTACCACCGCCGCCTTCTGACGCTTTGATCATTACCGGATAAGGAATTTTCTTTTCCTAAATATCGCAGTCTACTAAGTTTTTCTTTTTTCTTACCATCAAATGACTTTCTAAAAAAGAAACAGAATACAAAATATTTTTTACTTAAGACTCTTCCTTAGGCGCTAATTTCGGATCGTTTCTTTTTTCTGTGTAGGAAATTACGGAATCCATAAAGTCACAAACAGAGACTTTCCGACCGGACAAAAAATTTTTAACATTAAACGAAAGTTCAATTTGCAGGTGGAGAGTTGTAACTTTAGCAACGTGAATATGGAGGAAAATTACATACATTTAGAACCTGTATTGCCTCTTCGTGATCATTAACACAGGCGGAGGCACGCAGCTCCTGCGTCACCTCGACCGCACTTGCTCCTTGCTCACACATCTCTTTCGGTAAGAAGATACCACTACCCGACCACGGCACTACTGGCACACCAGCCGACTGAAAATTTTGAAAATTCAAACTATGAAAAGTCACAGAAGAGAAAAAAAACCATCACTGCTCTCACAATACCCAGTTTTCGAAGTAGTATCATTGAATGTAAGCATTCATCGCAGCATGACCAATAAGGACAAACAAGCAAAAAAGGTGGCTGTTTCGCTAACAATATATATATATATATATATATGTATATATATAAGCCGTTATCAAAAGACGAAAAAAGTAACTGGACCCTTTCACCACAATTTGAAATGCTCGGATCTGAATTAAGCTCAATCTGAGAAAAAAAAAAGACCTGTGCAAGTATTGTTGAAGCAATTTTATCACCCAATGTGAACATAGCCGCTCCCGGCGGACCCATAAATATGATATTGTGCTTTTTGAGACCATTTGGTAGTTCCGGATTCTCGGATGCATGCCCCCACCCCGCCCACACAGCATCTACGTTATTGCTCACAGCATGCTTCAAGATGTCATCAACATTTGCATAATTATTCTCGTTTGCCCCAGATTCCGAGAACACAAAATTATCGATCATTTTTAAATATTCTGAAAAAAGAAATCAGTAAATACAAATCGAGTTGGAACCATTCAGCCATATTCCACCACTGTGATACACCAGCCCAGCCCATTAATCCAGGAAAAAAAGAAATCCATTATTTTAGAACAAACAAACGCATGCCAGAAAACTAAGTGCTCGATACTTCAATGAACTGCCGCTTTGAACGATGCCGGTGCAAGCTAAAGGTTAAAATTTTGGCAGCCCTAGCAGCAAACAATGCAAAGCTGTAATGGTGAGAAAAAACGCTTAAG